ATGCCCCAGCACTCTAGCCGGGCCAAAATAGTGAGACTCTTTCTCAAAAAATAAAAAAATTAAACCGACTTAAAAAAACAAATAACAACGATATGCCAACAAATTGGAAAAACCTAATGGAAATGGATAAATTCCTGGACACATACAACCAACCAAGATTGAACCAAAAAAACCCCAGAAAACTGGAATAGACAAAAGTAATGAAATTTAATCTCATTAAAAATGAAAGAATTTTTGGCTGGGTGTGGTGGCTCATGGCTATAATCCCAGCACTTTGGGAGCCTGAGGCAGGAGGATTGCTTGAGTCCAGGAGTTCAAAACCAGCATGGATAACATATCAAGACCCCATTTTCTACAAAAAGTTAGAAAATTTGCTGGATGTGGTGACACATGCTTGTCGTCTCTACTACTTGGGAGGCAGAAGTGGGAGGATTGCTTGAACCCAAGAGTTTGGGGCTGCAGTGAGCTGTGATTGCATCACTGCACCTCACCTTGGGTGACAGAGTAAGACTTGTCTCTTAAAAAAAAAAAAAAAAATAGAATTTTCCTATTGAAGAAAAGCCCAGGACCTGATGCCTTCACTGCTGAATTCTACCACACATTTAAAGAATTTATATAATTCTTTTTAAACTCTTTCACAAAATTGAAGAGGAGAGAAATCTTCCAAACTCATTCTGAAGCCAGCATTACTCTGACACCAAAACCAGACAAGGACACAATAAGAAAAAGAGAGAGCTATAGGCCAATATCCCTACTGAACATAGATGCACAAATCCTCAACAACTTTCTAGCAAACTAAATCTAGCAGCACATTAAAAAAAAAAAAAAGCACTGACCATGATCAGGTGGGATTTATACCAGGGATACAAGAATGATTCAACATACACGAGTCAATAAACACAATACATCACATCAACAGAATGAAGGACAAAAAACATATGATCATCTCAATGGATACAAAAAAAGCATTTGATAAAATTCAACATCCCTTCATGATAAAAATTTTCACCAACTAGGTATAGAAGGAGTGTATGTCAACATAATAAAGGCCATATATGATAAACCCACAACTAACATTATATTAAACGGTGAAAAGCTGAAAGCTCTTCCTCTAAGAACTGGAGTAAGATAAGGATGCCTGCTCTTACCAGTTTTTTTCAGTATAGTATTGGAAGTCCTAGACAAAGTAATTAGGCAAAAGAAATAAATAAAGAGCATTCAAATTGGAAAGGAGAAAGTCAAATTGTCCCTGTTTGCAGATGACATGATATTATCCATAGAAAACCCAAAAAGCTCCATCAATCTCTTAGAACTGAAAAATAAATTTAGTAAAGTTTCAGGACACAAAATTAACATGTAAAAATCAGTAACATTGTTATACACAAACAACTAACTAGTGGAAAAAGAAATCCTATTTACAATAACTACTGAAAAAAATACTGAGGAATAAATTTAACTTCTTTTAATAATAAATTTAATAAATTTAATTTCTTTTTCCACTAGTTAGTTGTTTGTGTATAACAATGTTTCTGATTTTTACATGTTAATTTTGTGTCCTGAAACTTTACTAAATTTATTTTTCAGTTCTAAGAGATTGATGGAGCTTTTTGGGTTTTCTATAGGTAATATCATGTCATCTGCAAACAGGGACAAGGAAGTGAAAGAAAGATTTCTGCAAGGAAATATACAAAAGCTGAAAGTAATTGAAGACATCACAAAAAAAGGGAAAAACATTCCACATTCATGGATTGGAAGAGTTAATGTGAAAATGACCATACTCCCAAATTTGATCTATAGATTCAGTGCAAATCTAAATGCCTATCAAATCTAAATCCCTATCAAAATGCCAATAACATTCTTCACAGAAATAGAAAAAACAATCCTAAAATTCATATGGAACCACAGAAGACCTTAGATAAAATGGCATTGTACTTGCATATAACCTATGCACATTGCCCTGGATCCCTTAGTTAGTTAGTTAGTTAGTTAGTTAGTTAGTTAGTTAGTTAGTTAGTTAGTTAGTTAGTTAGTTAAGACAAGGGTCTTGCTCTGTGGTTGGGACTAGAGTGTAGTGGCGCGATGATAGCTCACTGCAACCTCAAACTCCTGGGCTCAAGTGATCCTCTCATCTTGGCCTCCAAAGTGCTAGGATTGCAGGTGTGAGCCACCATGCCTGGCTTTTTTTCCTGTATACTTTAAATCATCTCTAGAGTACTTATAATACCTAATACAAAGAAGGGCAGGCATCCTGTGGTGGGCACCCAGGATAGGGCCTGCAAAGGGCATGAGGGGTGGGCACCCATGGAGAGGATCCAGTGGAAGGCAGGGTGGACTCCCAGGGGTAGCTCATTCAGGGAAGGGCAGTCAAGGAAGGGCACCCAGGGACCACCACCCAGGTGGCACAGTGGGTGGGTACCTGGGGTAGGGCACCCAGGGGATGACCATCAACCTGTACCCAGGATTGGGCCTGCAGAGGGCATGGGACAGGGAGAACTCACAAAAGGCACCTGAGAAAGGTCCCAGGGGAAGGCCAGGCTAGACACCCAGGAAAAAGCCTGGGTGCCCACTGTCTCAGAGCAGGGGCAGCCCTGCACCTGGCCTCCCAAGGTGGACACCTTCAAAGTGGGGGCTCTCTTTCAGCACTGCCAGTGGCCCCTTTCCACTCCAGAGACAAACCATGTTTCCTGCATGTGAAGCTGTGCTTCCAAGCCATAGATTATACTAACATTCCCCCAGTTCTCTGGTTTAGGCCTTGTTGTCCTATTTCCTCTTCCTGGATCTCCCTATATCTGGTCATATTAGGGTTTGGTTCAGTCATCTGTATGAAGTCATCATGACTGTAAATAATGGTCTGCAGCTAAGCCATATCTGGCATCCTGATTGCTTAGGGGTCCTCAAACTGTGGCCCGCGGGCCACATGTGGCCCTCTGAGGACATTTATCTGGCCCTCCAGGTGTTTTTGCCGCCGCTGCCTGTCCTGCTTAGCAGCCAACTTGTCCCAGGCCCACAGTGTGCATGTGTGGAATGTGCACACTCCAATGGTCTGAGAGACAGTGAACTGGCCCCGTTTTAAAAGTAAAAGGAACCCTGGTGAACATTAGATAATTTGCCCAGTTATCAAAGAACCCATTCTGGGTTGCTTCTCTAAGCACTCCCTCAGTGATCTGGATGTGGGACCTGCAGCTCTCCTCCCTAACTCCTGCCATCTTTCTCCTGTTGCAGACCCACTTGTCTTCCTCTTCTTCAGCTTACTTTCATGTTTTGGGTTTTGGAGGAGCACCTTCTTTAATAACTTCCTGAGCTGCATAGGGGGAATTTTTGGACTCATATCTCAGCAAGTGGCTTTACTTGATATCTTGGCTGGGTATAAAAGTCTAGGTTAGAAATTGTCACCATTCTTGTCACCAAGAATTCTGGTCACAACTTCCTTTTCTTTTCTTTTCTTTTCTTTTTTCTTTTCTTTTCTTTTTTCTTTTCTTTTCTTTTCTTTTTCTTTTTTCACTTCTGCCTCCCAAAGTGCTGGGACTCTATTTTCTTTCTGCCAGCTTTTCACTTAGAAGCCTACTGCTGTTCTTATTTCCAGGCCTTTATATGTGAACTGTGTTTTTCTCTGAAAGCTTTTAAGAGCTTTTCTTTATCGCTGATGTCTTGAAATGTCATGATGTGTCTTATTTTGTGTCTTTTTTCATATCATGTCACTGGGCACTTAGTGGGCTCTTTGAATCTAGAATGGGGTTCAGTGAAACACGGCCCTCAGGCCAGATGGAGCCCACTACCTTTTTTCCTAAATGAAGTTTTATAGAAATCCTTCCATGCCCACTTGTTTCCATATCATCTAGGGCTTTTGCCATACAATGGCAGAGTTGTAGTGGAACCCATGTGGCCCTTAACAATCAATTAAAAAAAAAAGATGGCTACTTATAATATCACAAAGACAAGTGATAACAAATGTTGGAAAGGCTATGGAGAAAAGGGAACCCTTGCACACTGTTGATGGGAATGTATATTGATGTAGCTATTATGGAAAATAATATGGAGGTTCCTCCAAAAATTAAAAATAGATTTACTATATGACCCAGTTATATCTCTTCTGGGTATATACTCAAAGGAAATGAAATCAGCAAATCATCACCTCCTAGAGATATCTGTGCTTCCTGTTCATTGTAGCACTATTCACAACAGCCAACATATGGAAATGACTTAAGTGTCCCATGATGGATGAATGCATAAGGAAATTATGGCATGTATATATACACACACACACACAATGAAATATTATTCAGCCTTCAAAAAAAGAAGGAGATTCTACTCTTTTGACAGCATGGACAAACCTGGAGGATGTAAGCTAAGTGAAATAAGCTAGACATAGAAAAAAATAAATTGCATAATCTCATTTATATGTGGAATCCAGAAAAAAGTTGAATATATAGAAACATAGAGTAGAACAGTGGCTATCAGGGGCAGAGGAGGTAGACTGGCAATGGGGAGATGTAGGTCAAAGGGTACAAAGTTGCAGCTATGTAGGTTGAATAAGTCTAGAGATATAATGTGCAGCGTGAAGACTATAGTTAATAATATTGTCCTGTATGCTGGAAATTTGCCAAAAGAGTAGATTTGAGGTATTCTTATCCACCATTTAATTTTTTTTTAAACCCAAAGCCTCAGAAGACACTTACTACCATTTAAAAAGGCAACTATGTGAGACGATGGATATATTAATTTGCTTGGCTGTAGTAATCATTGATCTATGTCTTTGTATATCAAAAATTATGTTGTACACTTTAATGTATACAATTAATAAAATCATTTCTATCCTTAGAGAGTTAAGAACACATTGCATTCAAGAACAAAAATAGGATTGCTATTTTAAATGAAAATATTGAGAACAAATAATAGCTATTAAAAATTAAAAGTGTGATAGCAGAAATAAAAAAAAAAGAAACCCACAATGGTATTGTTAATTGGAAGATAAAGTTGAAAAAAAAATCTTTCAGGTTCCGGTTGTGCCAGCGTTGGAAGAGCCGGTGGGTGTGCCGGTTTGAACTTTTTGTCCTGGAAGCTGTGGATCACCATGAGGCTTGTAATTCTTGATAACTATGACTTGGCTAGTGAATGGGCAGCCAAATACATCTGTAATCGCATCATTCAGTTCAAACCTGGACAAGACAGATATTTTACACTGGGTTTACCAACAGGGAGTACACCTTTAGGATGTTATAAAAAACTAATAGAATATCACAAGAATGGAAACCTTTCTTTTAAATATATGAAGACCTTTAACATGGATGAATATGTAGGACTGCCGAGAAATCATCCTGAAAGCTACCATTCTTATATGTGGAATAACTTTTTTAAGCATGTTGATATAGATCCTAATAATGCTCATATCCTTGATGGGAATGCTACAGATTTACAAGCAGAATGTGATGCATTTGAAAAGAAAATAAAAGAAGCTGGAGGAATAGATCTTTTTGTTGGAGGAATTGGTCCAGATGGTCATGTCGCTTTCAATGAGCCTGGATCCAGTTTGGTATCAAGGACAAGATTAAAGACTCTAGCAATGGATACCATTTTGGCAAATGCTAAATATTTTGATGGAGACTTAGCAAAAGTGCCAACCATGGCTCTAACTGTTGGTGTGGGGACCGTAATGGATGCCAGAGAAGTAATGATCCTCATAACAGGGGCACACAAGGCATTTGCCCTGTACAAAGCCATTGAAGAAGGCATCAACCACATGTGGACTGTCTCGGCTTTCCAGCAGCATCCCTGGACTATTTTCGTGTGTGATGAAGATGCTACTTTAGAATTGAGAGTTAAAACTGTGAAATACTTTAAAGGTTTAATGCATGTGTACAATAAACTTGTGGATCCACTATACAGTATGAAGGAAGGAAATTGAAGGAGATTGGAGCAAAATTCTTCTTGAACAGAGCACTTTTTTTTTATAAGTAGCAGATGAATTTTCAACTATGCAATGATAAAACATGGGGAATTTTGAAGACTGTCATTTTTGAAGTCCACTATCTATGTTAAACATTCCATATTTAGAATGTATATCTCACTAGAGTTCAGAAGTAGTTATCTCTCAAAATTGATTGGCTATTATAAAATACAAAAAGCCACAGAGCCACCTAGAAAACAGCATAGAAATGAAATGTCTGCCATTCAGAAATTTAAAGTCATGTTTAAAGGTAAAGAGTCTGCGTATCAGGTGCCATTGTGGCTTGACTCTAGTGGCATACCTAGATTTTCATATGTGAATGACAAGATGACACTCCAAACCTTTCAGGTATCAAAACTATCATTGCAAACCTTTACTTTTGGAATGCTGCCTTTGTTTTCTGTGAATTACACACATGCTCTCTGCACGTGGTTGCCTTAGTCATCTTCCTACAGTAACATCTAGACATTAAGAGTTATGCCATATATTGTTGGTAAAGGAAATTTGAAGAGATGACAGTGCCTAAGAGTACAGTTTACATCCTTTTAGAAAGTATGTGTAAGTGCATGTTTTTTGTGCACCTTCTATAGCACTTTTTTACAAATATGCTCTTATTTTTGTTTAATGACTTGGGTTCCTGCCCTTAATATAAGTTTCTTGGCAATTATGAGCTTTATATCTAGGAACACACTTGAGATTGTTTTGGAGAATATCTTCTTATTGTTAAACTTCATAAATGATTAGCTTTATTCCTTATATATAAGATATCTGAAAAGAAAATATGAAACATATAAAAGGAATTACTGTAAACTATTGTAGATTGACATAATTTGCCTAATCAGATCACAAAAGTATATTGTTTTCTATCTTCAACTGAAATAAAGACTTTAATAAGCAAAAAAAAAAAAAATCTTTCAGCAAGTAAGATGAAAGACAATGATATGAAAAATAGGATGGAAAAACTAAGAAAATTAGGAAACCAGCCCAAGAGTTTTAAGATAGAAGAGAAAAAAACAGAGTCAAGGGTATTGTAAAAAAAAAAATTGACTCAACAAAATTTTCCAGAATGCATGAGCCTAAATTCCCAGACTGAATGAGCCTATTGAACACCCAGCACAATGGATGAAAAGGATTCAAACTGTTGTGAAATTCTAGAACAGTGGCAACAAATAAAAGCTCCTATAAACTTTCAAGAGAAAAATGCCATACAAAAACTGAAGAGTCAGAAGAGCACTGGCTATGTCAACAGCAATATTGCAAGCTAGGAGGCAATCATCCAATGGTGTTAAAATTTTGAGGGCAAATTTTTCCCAATCTAGAAAACAAATTCAGGTAGGCTATAAAATGTGAGATTAAATAAAAATATTTTCAGGTATTCAAAATGCCCAAATTTTCCTCCCATGCTCACCTTCTTAAGAGCAACAGGAGGATTGGTTTCACAAAAATAAAGGAATCAACCGAGAATAAGGCAGTATGGTTTTTGGGGAACAGGGAGTCCAATATGAGGATAAGTGAAGACAGTCCACAGGATAACAGTGAAAAGAGAGGCCAAAACAAGCACTGTGCAGCAGACCCGGGGGAGTAACTAGACAGAACTGAGCAAGCCTGGAGAATGTGGTGTAATTTTCTTCAATGAATTGTAAATGATGAAATATCTAGAACATATTGAAAGTAATTTACAAATTAGGGAGAGTTTGGGTTCAAAATCCTGGTAAATACATGGAATACTAAGCAAGCAATAAAAACCAATTATTCATTCCATGAAAAGAATAATCATAGTGTGTGCAGATAAGGAATCACAGTATAGTACATACTCTCCTGTGAATAGCATATAGATAGTCATAATACTAAAAATCCTGAATGTTGAACTGGCCAAGATTACAATATATTGATATGGGGAAATAGGAATGTATATGTGTGTGGTAGGGGTGGCAGAAGAGAGCTAAAATCTCAGCTTCCATGGAGAGGTTTCAAAACATAATCTCCAAAGCTAATGAAGAAATAACAATAAAAACATTATTTAGGGATATAGAGCTACAAAACAAAATAATCAGCTTGAAGAGTTGAACCCTAAACAAGCAGAGCAATACATACAAAAATGAACCTTTAAAAAACTACATAGCAATGAAATCAGCCAACCAAGAGATGAATTTAAAAGAAAATTCTCGGCCAGGCATGGTGGCTCATGCCTGTAATCCTAGCACTCTGGGAGGCCAAGGCAGGTGGATAATTTGAGCTCAAGAGTTTGAGACCAGCCTGAGCAAGAGTGAGACCCTGTCTGTACAAAAGAATAGAAAGAAATTAGTTGGACAACTAAAAATATAGAAAACATTAGCCAGGAATCATGGCACATGCCTGTAGTCCCAGCTACTTGGGAGGCTGAGGCAGGAGGATCACTTGAGCCCAGGAGTTTGAGGTTGCTGTGAGCTGCTAGGCTGATGCCACGGCACTCACTCTAGCCCAGGCAACAAAGGGAGACTCTGTCTCAAAAAACTAAATAAATAAATAAAAATAAAATTCTCCAGAATGAATATGGTAAAAATATGTTAACAAGCATTTAATCCATTTAAATGTATGACTAAGACTAAATATAGGAATTATGATTAGAGAGAATGTAAATGCTTTAAAATTGACAAAGTAAAAGTAAGTAACAAAAAATTAGAGGGAGAAGGGAAATAGAAAAAAGTATAAGAATGTTAATTTCCTTGTCTTTTACTAAAGGAAATCAGTCAATATGATCTAAAATTGAAATATCTAGATCGTGCAGTATTCTTCATGATCTTTCCTTTTTAACTTTCAAATAATCTTTTATCAACACAAATATCTAGTGGTGAAGAAACATTTATCTCTGATGTTGAAAATGGGGAAGGTAATGCATGTGTCGGGAAGGGCAGATATGGGAAATCTCTGTACCTTCCTCAGTTTTGCTGTGAACCTAGAACTGCTCTAGAAAATAAAGGTTTTTTAAACAAGAGAAACATTCATCTGAAATTTAGCAATTTCTTCTACTTTTCTTCAATTTCTTTTCTTCTATTAAATTGTATGTAATTCTAATTCTAGTAAAATTGTATGTAATAACTTTCATTACCAGAGGCACGTATATTAATAGAATGATGTCATTTGATGAAACTGTTTCTATCTACCTTTTCTCCATCCATCTGTATATTTCCATCCATCCAACCCCCTATCCATCAAAAGGGGCTAGACGTGATGCTCATCTAGTGTTATTAAATATTACTTCTAAGTTAACAGCACTGTCATTTTTTAAATTCTTCTTTGCATTTATCTGTAGAGCTTAAACTTTTACAAGTATGCTTCTTTTGATTAAGTAAAGCAAAGCCATTATATTTGAAAATATTTGGGGATTTTAAGCCCACCAAAAGGTCACAAAAGTATGTTAAAACAAGAGTGTTCTAAAAATTATGTGAATTTGGAAAAAGTTAAACATGTTTAGCCATGACCATGTATTACTTTGATTAAATTAATAAAAAAATGATGAATTCAAATGTATGTGTATAACAATAGATTAACTGTGGTTGGTTCTGGGAAACAAGATTTTAGGTTTTTTCTACATCTTTTTGTATCTTCATAAATTTCCAAAATGGGCAATACTCTTTATATAATCAGAAATGAAGTATTCATTATTTTAAAAATTAATCGATATAGTTATGTAGAGGTAGAGAGTTATGTACTAGGTTAGCAACTTTGCCAGCTAGACTTTACAGCTGCTTGTTCAACAATGGAACACAATAAACAAATGATTCCTATAAAGTTTAGGGCTGGAATGCTGTTAACACCATTGAACACACCCACACTTTAGCACCTGCAGTTTTACAAGCTCAAGTTAGAAAACCTATCACATTAATAAAAATAAAAATATTGTCTCCACATTTTAATAAGCATTAAAGAATTATGTAATAATGCCCTCCATAATTCTGATAATTACCACCTTTCATCTAAAGGGCAAGCCAACATATTTTAAACAGTTGATTAAAAATATTGAGCTATTGATATGGAGAGCAACACTATTTTTAAAAATTTCAAGTGTTCAAAAGACTCAGAAAGCTGTGGAAACATTCAAGTAAAATGTTCAGGAATAATAATGACTACAATATCACTCTATCTTGGACTAAAAACCAAAACAAAAGAGGCAAACAAAAGAACAGAATTAGCTTATTATAAAGAAAAAAGAATAACATTTACCTTATTATAAAGAAAAAAGAATAACATTTACATCTATCAAACTTATGCTAGTAGGTAAGAGAGGAATATATGTCTTTTCATCTATTATCATTTTAACATATTGTTAGATTTGTCAATATTCTGCAGAAGACTTTTGTGTTCATGTTCATGAGGGGTACTGATCTGTAGTTTGGTGGGGTTTTTTTCTTGTATTAATAATATACTTGTCTGGTTTTGATATTAAAGTAATGCTGGCTTCATAAAATAGAAAGTTTATTTCTAAATAAACTCCAAATAAAGTTTATTTATAAAATAAACTAAGGAAACTAGTCTTTCCTCCTCTTTTATTTTTCTGAAGGAGATCACATTGTTTCTTCCTTCAATGTTTGGTAGAACTCTATAGTGAAACCATATGAGTATGGAGTTTTATTGTTAGGAGGTTTTAAGCTATTAATTTAGTTTCCTTAATAGATATAGGATAATCACATTATCTAATTTTTCTTGAAGGAACCTTGGTAGTTTATGCCTTTAAAAAAATTTGCTTTATCTAAATTCTCAAACTTATAGAAATAAAACTGCTTGTAATATCTCGGACACCAATGACGTGAATATTGCACATTTTGATATTGTCCCACAGGTTGCTGAAGCTCTGTCCATTTTTAAAATCTTGTTCTACTTTTCAAACTCAATGATCTCTATTGATTTCTCTTCTAGTTTGCTGATTCTTTCCTCTGTATTCTCCATTCTGCTACTTAGCGCATCTATCGAATCTTTTATACATTGTATTTCTTCTTCTAAAATTTCCTTTACTTTAGAGACAGAGTTTCACTCTATCACCCAGACTGGAATGCAGGGGTATGCATATAGCTCCAATTCCTGCAGCCTCCAATTCCTGGGCTTACGCAAAGCAATCCTCCTGCCTCAACCTCCCGAGTAGCTAGGACTGCAGGTGTGCACCACCATGCTCGACTATTTTTTCTTTTTTTAGAGATGGGGTTTCACTATGTTGCCCAGGCTACTCTTGAATTCCAGACCTCAAGGAATCCTTCCACCTCAGCCTTCCATCTGCAAAGTCAGCCGGGGAATTACTCTCACATGGAATCCGTCCCACACTTTGCATCTCTCTGACCTCTCCTCCATTACTGAAAGGGTTCATGTGATTATCTGGCCCAACTAGATAATATCCCTATCTTAACAACTGGTTTGGGACTTTAATTATCTATGAAATGCTTCACAGTACCTGAGTTAGCATTTGATCAAACAGTTGGATGTTATACCAGGGGCTAGGAATCACAAGGCCATATTAGAATTCTGTCACCACAGGGTTGTATCAAAAGGACCAGCCTGACCAACAGTGAGACCCTGTCTCTATAAAAATTAGCCAGGCATGGTGGCACATGCCTGTAGTCCCAGTTACTTGGGAGGCTGAGGCAGGGGGATCACTTGAGCTCAGGAGTTTGAGGTTGCAGTGAGCTATGATGATGCCACTGAATTCTAACTAGGGGGACACAGTGAGACCCTGTCTCCAAACAAAACAAAACCAGGACACCACATACAACAATCAATGCCTATAAATCGCTAGAATATTATTTAGATTCGAGGACTCAAGAGAATCCAATCACTAGAATTGTTTAAAAGTGACCTTAATCAGAGTGTTTGTCTCAGGCAGCCTCAGGTATTGTCAGAGATCACTGATAGTGATCTATCAATCATCTATCTACCTAGCAGATAGTGAAAGCACACATTCCAAGTACTATAAAGGGAGAGGGACCTGAAATGGTGTCCACTATGAGTTTCCTTCAGCCATTATATTATTTCATCCCCATCCTACTTTTCTGAGACGTTAGTACCCCCATTTTCTGAGGATACCAAAGCTCAAATTGTTTAGTGAATGACACAGTGTTGCACAGCCAACACTGGCTTCCATTCATGAATCATGTAAATGCTAAAGTGCACTGCCAACGTGAACCAGTATTTGCACAATAAATAATACAATATATATTAGAGGGAGGAAGGGGCAACTTGAAGGACTCCCAATGCCTAAATCTGGGATTATTTGTGCAACAAAATGATAGTAATGAATAACTCATAGACTAAAATATACACCCACTAGTCCATACTGATCTTAATAAAGAACTTGTTAAAGAAATGGGAGTGAAAGGAAAGCTCTTCCTTTACAGAATTCCAATAAATGTTGAAAGCGTGATAGAAATAGAATATTACCATTTGACATATACCAGAGCAGTATTTCAGACAAGAATCAACATATTCTAAAATTTGTAGGCAGAATATAAGAAATGGGATATTCACTTAGTCACAAAGTATCTTCCCAGAAGGTATTAAATACAAGAGAAGACAGTAACTTTATAATAGAGAAACTGGCAGATACCACCTGAACCCGGAAATCAGTTATGATTACTGATGAGACAAGATGACATCTTGTGCCTGCTGGTATGATATACTGGGAAGGATCCAACAGCACTTCCATCAAGTTCTTACCAAGAATACATAATTATGAGAAACATCAACCAAAACTGAGGGCCAACTACAAAATACCCTACCAGTACTCTTCAAAAAGTATTAAGGTCATGAAAGTCAAAGAATTCTGAGGAATTTCTTTTAAAAAGACTGAGGAGATACAACTACTAAATATTAATATCATGACCCTGAATGGGATCGTGGGCTTCTTAGAAAAAGAATGTTAGTAGGACAATTGTGAAAGTTGAATTGTCTATAGATTTCATCTTTTTTGTTTCTGACATATAGCCTGTAAAATAGTGGTCTGAAGTCATTCTTTCCATATCCTCCTAATTGCATATTAAAATTATACCAATGTTAATTTCCTGATTTTCATAATTGTACTGGGGTAATAGGTAAGAGTTATAAAACTTTTTAAACCTACACCTTATCTCAATTTATCCATAATGAAATTTTGCCAAGTTACCTGAGGTTTACTTATTAAACAAAATTTTTTTAAGATGGTTTCACTATGTTGCCCAGGCCAGTCTCAAACTCCTGGCCTCCCAAAGTGATGGGATTATAGGCATGAGCCACTATGTTAGCCCTAAGCAACATTTCTTAAAAGACAGAATTATTTCAAATCTCTCTCTACACACACACACACACACACACACACACAGAGTCCCTGACTTATGATGGCTTGAATAACAATTTTTTAACTTTACCATGGTGTGAAAGCAGTATGGATTCAGTACATTCAACTTATTATGGGGTTATGTTGTCATAAACCCATCATAAATTGAAAATATCATAAACTGAAAGTTTGAATTCCAATTCCTTTCCTGCAACTTCTAATAACAGTTAAAGTAGAATGAAGTAGAACTATAGGAAGCATGTTTATTCTAACGAATAAGGTAGGTTCTTTCAATCTACCTTAAGATTACGAGAATTAAACAAGATGATATATGTAAAGTACTTAGAACACTGCTTGACAATAAACAGTCTGAGGTAGATACTATTTATTATTTCTCATTTTACAGGTGAAAAATCTGAGGCTTGAAGATGAAAAATAACTTGCTTAAGGTTACATAGGTAGGAAGTGGCAGTACAAGACTTTGAACTGTGTCTGACCACATTATACAATTTGTCTTATTAATGTCAACCCATTCTTAAATCCTGCAGTACACACAAAACATCAAGTTTTCTCTCTCTCTCTCATTGGCACTTACCATCTTTCTTGAGTTTGGGATCTAATGTCATCAACAACAACAAAAAAAACACAAGCAAGGAGGAGTTACCCAATTACAAAGCCAAAATTCTGGATGCAGTACAAAAGTTAATTAACTTAGTCACTGATACATAACTCAAACACAAATTACTTACTTTATTTCTTTAACAATGAAATAGTAATAACAACACAATAATTTAGTAGTAACAAAGATATCAACAGAGCAAAAACCAAAGCTAATTAAGAGCGTTGTTTCAGCTCAAATTAGTTATCTCCTTTAAATAGGAAAAAACTACCATTAGTCTAGTGGTTCTCAAACCTGTCTGCACATTAGAGGAATGAAGAAAAAGAGGATTGGTGCTTAAAAAAATAGTTATATCAAGGCCCACCTCAGAACAATTAAATGAGAATCTCTCAAGAGTGGGTCCCAGGCAAAGATTTTTAAAGTGCTATCAGTGTTGAGAACTACAGGTCTAGAAGAATAGCAATAAAAACCACACCTTCAAAGCAATTCAAAGCCAAGAATTTCTTTCCTCTTATCGTGGGAAAGGAGAAGGGGTCAGGCACTGACTCATTTCTCATTGTTCTTTATCCATTTTGGATTGCCCATAGTAGACCTTAACAAGCATCCGATATTGGAAATTATGCAAACATGCTATCCAAATTGAAATTCTCCCTACTTTACATTTAGAAAGCTCTTTTAAGTAAAGCAACACTAGCTTTCAGAAAGAATCCCTCACATTTTAAATTTGCATAGATGTTCAAGTCAGCTTTGTTCAACTAAGAGTCAATAAAATGTATTAGAAAGTATTTTATTAGTAACAGCTATTATAAAACAATTATTTATTTCATGTACCACAAATAAACTTTTTGGTGCAGACGGGAGGAATAGTTGAGTGTTTCCTACCTATTTCTAAAACTGCCAGAATTTCTTTTCATAAGGTCACTATCTTCAAATTTAGAGTCTAAACAAAGCTTTTTTTCCTTAAGAATGCATACATAAAATACTTCCCCAACAACTGCACTATATCCTTGACAAATCCCTATTGGGAGGTTCAGTAGTAAATGCAAATATTTATTGTCAAAACAACCTTTCCTCATTTTTCAGGTTTGGAAATGATATCACGTCTAGTATGGAAAATAACTTTTTCCTTAAGAATACATGAATTCACTTAGAGATGTTTCCTCAAATTCAATGAATCCCACTTATTCAGTTCCTTATGTCAGGACTCCATGTCAATCTCAGCCACTTCATTCTTGCCCTCAAGTGTTGCTTCTGTCAAGTTGTCTCCAGTTGCATCTTCAATGTCTGCCAGATCAATAGGTGGTAAAGGATTCCTCCAGTACTGGAAGGTATTATACTGCCAAAATTCTTCATTGTGCTTTACAGAATAAAAAAAGAGAGAGATGAAAGTACATCAGTGGCTTAGAAAAAGTTAAATTTTTCAGGAAACAATTCTGTTTTAATAGCAAATTCATAAGATTTTTCAAGCTTTTACTTTGCATTTTTAACAAATAAACATTTTTGCCTCATCAAAGTATTTTGTGTATTCAATTAAATCTGTGTATTTTAATATTTATAGATTTGTGAAAGTATTTGCTGGTAGATTAAATTAAAAATTTTTTTTAAGAGACAGGGTCTTAGCTGGTCTGATGTTAGTGGATTATCAGAACTTATTAACATTAGTGTCACTAAAGTTGATATACAATCCCCCACTGCCAAATTTGACTAGCTAAAAAAAAAAAGAGTGTGAGAGAGAGAGAATACTGGGTTCTCACTCTGTCAGGCAGGCTGGTGTGCAGTGGCCAGATCATAGCTCACTGCAGCTTTGAACTCCTGGCCTCAAGTAATCCTCCACGTCACCCTCCCAAAGTGCTAGAATTATTGGCATGAGCCACCACACTTCCATCTCTCACATTTTTAACCCAAAGAAAATATGTGAAAATGGTCTCAACATTTTTTTTTATCTTTCAATTGGGAAAATAAGAATTTTAAAAATACATACTTACATGCCCCTTATAATGTATATTTGGTCTTTTTTTGAAGACCCTCCAAAAAGTATTAGGACATGAACATGGTGAATAGCAAGAAAACCTTAAACTGATCATTTTATTTAAGAGACCACTTCATGCATGACATGACTAACTTTTAAATCAATATATCAAAACTTTATAAATCCAAATGAATGCTGACTCCTTAAAAATTCAGCAGCTTACTCTGAATGGCTACAAAATTATTTCAGGTAACTATGAAATGAAGCTGATTTTCCAATGAAGTTGAAAAATTGGCAAAGAATTTTACAAGCATCCCTAAAATACTTTGTGCAAAGGAAACGACACTGAAATCACATATAGGCTTCTAAGGTGACAATTCTGAACATTAACACCTTTCCCAGGTTGATATCTCCATCTATTCTATGTTGTGTTCTTATTTTAAGTTCATACTTGCTATAGCAGCACCAACAGAAATATAATGGAAAGCACATATGTAATTTAAATTTTTCTAGTAACCACAATACAATAGGTGAAATTAACCGTAATATCTTATTTGACCTAATATACCCAAAATATTGTTTCAACATGTAGTATTTAAAAAATTAATATTATACATTCTTCTGGGTCATACCCTCTAAGTTTTCAAAATATGGCATGTATTTTATACTTTCAGCACTATTTAGACTACTCACTTTTCAATGCTCAATAGCCACATGTGGTTTAATGGTTACTGTACTGGAGAACACAAGTCTGTAAAAACGTGTCATCGGGAAGAATTGTTTTACATTCTAAGGCTTAGAGAATCAAGAGTCTTTCAGGAATTTCTTAATATTGGGATAAAGATGTAGTAAGTCAAAGGATACCAAGAAAAATTTCACTTTAATAACAAGATGGAGTTAAAATCAAGGTTCTAGTTCTCTTTGCCTTTTGGAAAATCTGTTGTTCAAATTATCTACTCATAAAAGCTGGATCAAAAAAAGGTCCTTTAATGTTAGTATAACCTAGTAGCTAAGGGCACAAATTCTGCCACCAGACAAACCTGGGTTTGCAAGATAACTACCACCCACTAAGTCTGATCTTGACCTCATCAGTAAAATGGAGAACCATTCCAAGAATTAAGGTTTTAAAAAAAAGAATTACGGCTTAGCATAGTAATTGCCAAGTACTGGTAGGTATTATGTTTCAATAAGCCTATGAATTATGAATCACTTTCTCCTTAGAAAAACAACATTTTCACTGACTTTCTGTTAAAAATATGGAACACCAAGAGGCACCACTGGCAGAGCAATGAACATGCATAAAGTAACACTAGCAAAAAAAACTACATGAATATGTAATGAATAACTGATTTTACTTTAGTTCTCCAGTAAAAAAAAAAAAAAAAATCTGAAACAACTTAGGAAGTATTCTGAAATTCCAGGACAGAAAAAATGTACCATTATTCTGCCTAGATTCCATTCTCAATGTAGAAAGAAAGTATTTGAAGTAGTATTTCCTAAAAGAGGTTTCAAAGGTGAGGGAAGAAACTTAAGCCCTATTCTGAGCACAACAGAAACCAGGCATTTCCTGCACTGAACTGTAAAAGCTTTTTATTTCTCTCTGTTTTCGTTATATCTAGTTTTCCCTTGGAAATTAGCTGTAAAACCCTTAAAACAAAAAGCCTGTGTCTTTGGAGGCAGGAAGGAAAGACAGAAAACTGGAGAGAGCACGTCCTTCACTTAGGTTTGCTGAAGAGCAGCAGCTCCAGGAACAAACCTAACAAAAAGAAGGAACATGTAGTTATTGGGCTTTCATCAAAGAAAAAAGACTAGTCTTGCTGAAGGGACCCCTGTAGACAAACTTTTTCCCTGCCGTGTACTTGCCACAACTTCAGGAAACAGAGAACTGCTAGATCTACAGTCACTACTATTGGGGAAGATACAGGTAGGTCTAAGAGATTTTAAAGCAGGTGTCTTTGTGGCAGTCTACTGAAGAACTACCATTCTTCTATCAACCTCTCATTTCCTTATTTTCCTCTTATTAACTGTGTGGCATACTATAGTCAATGTATTCTGGTAGGAAAGACAAGCATCTGGGTGGGATACAAAAAAAAGTGTGACAAACTTTCAAAAAGTTTTCACTACACAGTCCCTATTTCCAAATCCAACAGTTTTGGATGGCTATCTGAGTGAGCTGATTTTGAATATCTAAAAGCAATCTGAAGAAAAAAAGTCTAAAATAAGGTTGTTTTCTAAATTCCAAAAAAAAACCAAACCATCCAGGGGTAGAAATATTTACAATGTAATAATTTCATCCCAAATGATTAAATCTAAAAAGATACCTGAAAGATAATTTCTGACAACCACAGGGGTGGGGGTGGGGGGGAATCGTTCTCAACTATAAAACTTGCATTATTTTATTGGCTTTTTCACTTGAAAATTCATCATGCTACAGAAACGTCAATTTTTTTCTTGGAAAGGCATCTGATAAAATGTCATAAAATACTGAATAGAAAAATGTTGGGTGAACACTATGCTGTAGTAGTTGAAGAGAGTTTGGTGAATTCTGAGCCCTTAACTTAGTTCTTCCACTCCCCAAACCCCCTGGGGGTGAGTCTTTCTGCAACTGTGAAAAAGCAGTCTGAATTCCTAAGTCTAGACCAAAGCTGTCCAATAAATACAGGTGAGCCACAAGCGTAACTTCTAGTAGCCATATTAAAAACGTAAAAGAAACCTGTGAAATTAATTCTATTTTATTCAATCCAATATATCCAAATTATTTCACATGTAAGCAAGAGCTATTTTATCTTCCTTTTTTTTTCTTACTAAACCTATGAAACCTAGAGTGCATTTTACACTTACAAAACATCTCAATTCGGACTAGTTACATTTTAAATGTTCAGCAGTCTCACATGACTAGTAGCTGTCACACGAAACAGCAGATATTTAAGCGAATCTAGACAAACCTAGATCTTCTCAGGATTCTCAAGGTGCAGAGCCAGGCTCACTTTCAGAGAAGTAGGATCTGCTTGCTCCCAGCGATTCTCATGTATGTTCTACCTTAGGGCCCTAATTAATTCTCAACAACCATCAGATTTAACACAAAGTTTAAAAAGCTTCTCCCAAGAAATGGCAGTCCTTCCTCTCTGCCCAAAGAGCTGTCACCGCCTACACTACGTCCAATTAACTGACGGCTACCACAGTAGTCGCCCTCTAAAGAATCCATCACCTATTCTAGAACAATCACCGTTAAACCAAGGAAGGCACGCTACACCTTTTCCTGATGTTTGTCGTTGGGCTGAACCTTTCTCTGATCACCGTCAACGTCTTTACCAGGCTCTACGGACGGTCACGACTCACGCTCCAGCTTCCCTGTCACAAAGTGCCCGCGCCCAGGCGGCAAGGCCACCTCCCCCCACGCGGACACCGTCCGTTTCCCTCTGGACCCGGGAAGTGCTTTTTGCCCGCCCGACTCCCTCGAGTGTTGCCTAGGGAACAGGGCGGGGGGTGACGGCGTCCATGCCCAGAGCGGTGACGCCGGCTCTTCGCCTTGGGAGGGGCCTTAACGAACACAGTCACGAGTGGGACTACCTGTTCCTTCCCGGGCGCAGTGTGTGACCCGGGAAAGACGAGCCCCCTGGCCCCCTCACCCCGCCTGCCCGCTCCAGTCCCTACCTGGCGCCGGGCGGCCCCCCAGTCTCCGCTCGGGGGCCCTGCGCGCCCCGCCCCGTCGTCGCCACCGCCCCTCGGGGGCTGGGCGCCCCGGTGCTCCTCCCCCGGCCCGCGGGGCTGAAGGGGCGGCTGCGGCAGCGGCGGCTCGCCCGTTTCGAGGCCGCGGCGCTCGGACTCTTCGCCGCCTGGGGCGCTGCTGTCCCCGCTGTCACGGCGTTTGTTGGGCGAAGCCGAAGGCTCTGCCATGGCCCCAGCCTCGATTTTGCGCTTTCGGTGCAGCTCCGGGAAGTCGAGAGGCTGCCCAGGATGCGAGGCCCCCGGCGGCCGGATCCAGAGCGGCGAAGACGGCGGCGGCTCCTCGGTGCAGTCGCAGAGCAGGAGCCGCTTCCAAGGCACGTGGAACGTCACCGGCTCGGCCGCACGCCGCTTGGCCATGGGCCCGGAGGCTCGGGCTCCCGCCCGCCCGGCGCGGGAGACCGAGCGCCGATAGTGACGGGTGTGGAGGGCGAGGGCGGAGCGCGCGAGGGCGAGGCCCACGTCCAGCGAGGCTTCGACAAGCTGACGGAGAAGGCCGAGGGGGCGGGGCGGCCCGGCCGGGCTTGGGCGCAGCCGGCGCACACTGCCCTCGCGGCCGCCGAGGTGCGGCCTGGGCGTTGGGGAGCAACCGCGAAGCGGCGGAGATTCGAACCTGCGCACAACGTGCGCGCGCGCTCGCGCCGGCCGAGCGGAGCTGCTGGTTGGTCGAGGCTCGCGGGGCGCGCTCCCGAGCGCTCTCGCGGCCGGAAGTGCGCGCCCCGGGGGAGGCGGGAAGGCGGCGGCGAGCTTATTAAAGACCGGGTCGAGCGGCCCGCGGCGGGGCGTGACTGTTTTTTCCCCGGTTGTAGCTGCGGTTGTACTGCTCCGGGCTAGGTGAAGGGGAGTACCTTCTACACGCTTATTTAGGAGATTTAGCACGTTTTCTTTAGTGTTTGTTAGTGTTTTCTTCCTCAAGTCAGTGACCACTGGGACACCTCCACGACTTCAGGATGAGAACTATACAAACTTTAGATAAGGTAGTGGCTTTATGCTAGGTTATTATTCAAAACAAAAGACTGAAGGGAAGTCAGGGCTGAGGCAAAAGCTGACATGCAAAAATCACACACAAAAAAACGAAGCGTGTATTTTGGGGCGGCTGCTGTAGAAATTGAAGTAGGCACCACATTCCTTGAAGATCTCTTGATTAGAAACTTACTGATGAAGTTGCAGACGAGATGTGCAGCCCTTCCAAAATAGCTGCGTAGTTGGCAAGAACGAAGCCTGGAGCACAGCTCTTTTCTTTCCCAGATGAAACCTAAAATTGTTTGTCTCTGAAATTATGTACGGAGCCTGAGTTCCCTGCTTACTGTGGGCTCAGTCCATAGTCCAGAAGTTTTCATTATAGCAAAATTTTGTGTTAGAAAAAGTGAGGTGGAGACAACCAAAGCCTATTTACTGTAGCTTATATTTTAATCATTTGATAAAGACAGTAACCAAGTAAAACAAAAACAGAAGAAAATAAGACTATATCAGTGCTTTGAAGGGAGAAGCTAATATTCTGAAGAAAAAGTATGTAAGGAAGATTATTTTAGCGGTAGATACTATCTAAATATTAATTACCCCATCCCCCTACACCTCAAAGTGGTTGTGAGTGGAGTTGATTATTTTCTTCACAAGCACAAAAATATAACAAGGTAAGGGAGTAAACAATAGCATTTCTGTTTGATCGTTCCATTCTCTTGTTTGAAATTGATAACTCATCTGTCTCCAACAGATGAAGAATTTGCCATTTTCAAACCAGTGGTACAGATTATCCATGAAAGAGTTTAATACCAGCCATCAGATGTTTTGTTTGAAAAGTTTTGAGGTGACCCTGCCCAAAAATGATAGTGTAGTTTAGCTAATCGTTCATTGCTTTGTGTTCCTCTCCACAGACTTTTTTTCTAAATTGTAAAATTTGTCATATGCACAAGGTTGTATAAAACATGCATGTAGATAGGAAGATAGTAAGACACCCAGCACTCAGTTTCAGATACAGAATATTACCAGCACCAGAATATGACAAGCTCCCTATGTGTGCCTCTGCCACTGGTGCCTGCCTCCCGTTCCCTCACTCTTGGCAATTGCTGTTTTGAATTTTTCAGTTAATCCTTCCTTTGTGGTTTCTTTGTAACTTCCCCATCTGTATGTATATTTCAAATAACATATTTTTGGTTTAGCTGTTTTTTTTAAAAAACTGCTTCATTGGGGTCTAATTGACATACAGTAAACTGTGTGCATTTAAAATGTGCAATTATACATAAGTATACACCTGTGGAACCATGACCACAATCAAGATAATGCACATATCCATCACCCTCAAAAGTTTTGTCCATCCCCCCCAGGTTACCATTGATTTACTTTTCTGTCATTATAGATTAATTTGCATTTTCTAGAGTTTTATATAAATGGAATTATACATTATGTACTATGTTTGGCTTCTTTCAGCATAATTGAGATTCATCCATGTTGTTATATGTTCTTTCATTTTAATTACCAAGTAGTATTCCATTTGTATGGGTATATCACAATTTGTTTATCCATTGATATGTTGATAAATATGTGTGTTGCTTCCTGTTTGGGGCTATTACAGATAATGCTGTTGAGAACATTTGTGTATAAGGCTTTGTATGGACACAGGCTTTCTTTTCTCTGGGTAAATACCTTTGAGTAGAATGACTAGATCATATTGTAGGGATATGTTTAACTTTTTTTTTTTTTTTTACTTTGGATCAATCATTTACACCAAAATGTTTAACATTGTTTTTTTATTTTAGCATATTATGGGGGTACAAATTTTAAGGTTTCAAATAATGCCCTCCCCCCCCCCAAGTCTGAGTTTCCAGCATGAAGGTTTCCAAAGTGTTGTCCCATTTTACATTTCCACTGGCAGTGTATGAGTTCCAGTTTCTACACATTTTCTCTGACACTTGGTATGGTCATTGTATTTTAGTCATCCTAAATAGGTATCTCATTGTAGTTTTAATTTGCATTTCCCTAATGACTAATGATGTTAAACATCTTTTAAAAGCCTATTTGCCATCTGTATGTCTTCTTTGGTAAAGTGTTCAAATCCTTTGCCCATTTTTAAAATTAGGTGGTTTGCTTTCTTATTTTCCTTATTTATATATTTTATATTTGTATGCATACAATGGTATTTTATTCTTTTATATTGACTATTCCATCACATGAATTTACTTCCCACTTCACTATTGACAAACATTTGAATTTTTTCAGATTTTTGCAATTATAGTCTGCTATGAACATACTTCTTAATAATTTCTAAGGCACATGTGCAAGAATATCCAGAATGGAATTAGATATTCCACATACCCTGACCACCCTAATTAAAATTGCAATTCACTCTACATTTCCCCTGACTCTGATTACCCTTGTTTTTTCCCCCATAGCATTATCACCTTTCAATCTAGTATGTAACTCACTTATTGTTCTTATTGTCTCCTTTTCTAGAAAGTAAGCTCCTTGAGAGTAGGAAACTTTGGTTTTTATTTTGTTTTGTTTTTTTCCACTGATACACTTAAGTATGAAGAACAGTACATGGTATGTATTAGGTGCTCAGTAAATATTTTTTGAATGAATATTCATTTCCACTTGGATGTTTCACAGGCACCTCATACTGTCTTCCATTGTCTCCTATATATCATCATGCATCTATCCAGGCATGTATACTAGATGTATAACTATCCTTTCACAGTCTTATATTCACTCATTAATTTATTCTTTGAATAAATATTTTGGGCATCTGCTATGGACCAGGCAAAATTCTAGACATTGGGATTACAATGAACAAAACAAAATCTCTGCCCTCTGACTCTCCTAGTGAAGCTAATATTGGGGGATATAGAAAATAAGTAAGTGCATCTATCAGGTGCTCAGGAAAAATAAAAATAAAGCAGGATAAGAGGGATGGGTGGTCAAGAAGGGCCTCTCTGATGAGACTTTTGAGCAAAGACCTGAAGAAAGGGGCAAATCACATGTATATTTGGGGGAGTGATCCTGGACAGAGATAATAGCAAATGCAAATGTCCAAAAGTGCAGAATAGCAAAAGCAAATGTCCAAAAGTGCAGAATAGCAAAAGCATGAGCAAGGGACAGCAAAAAAAGCCAGTGTAGCCTTTTTTTCCCTCTCAATGTTTTATTTTGCTTAGTTTCTATGTTTCTATGTCTCTTAGTTTCTATGTTTCTTAGTTTCTAATTCTTCAAATTCGCTATTCTTCTCTTGTGCCTAATCTCCTGTTAATCCCATACACTCTATTTTTCATCCCACATAATGTATTTTTCATCTCTACAAGTTCAATTTGGGTCTTTTTTTGTATCTTCCATGTCTAGATAACTTTTTGAACATATGGAATAGTTATTTTCACTGTTTTAATGTCCTTTTCTGCCAATTCTAATATCTGTCAGTGGTTTCAATCGATTGATCTTTCTCCTCTCTATGGATTATGGTTTGTTTCTCAGCACATCTGGTGATTTCTGATTGGACGCCAGATTTTGTGAGTTTTACTATGTTGGGTGCTAAATATTTTTGTAATTCTATAAATATTCTTGAGTTTCGTTCTAGGATACTGTTAAGGTACCTAGAAATAGTTTGACCCATTTGGGTCTTATAAGGTCTGGCAAGTGGGACCTGAGTTTTGTTTAGTCTAATTATTCCACACCATTGAGACAAAACCTTTCTCTGTGCCATTGCCAGTGCCCTGTGAATTATGGTTTTCCAGCCTGGGTATGGGAACGGGCACTCTTTTTGGTCCTGTGTAAGCCCTGGCTTCTGTTCCCGCTAAATACTTTCAGGTGCTTCTTTCTCTAACCTTGGGTGGGTTTTCTCACACACATGCACTGATCAGTACTCTGCAGATTACTCAAGGAGGACCGTCCTCTCCAGTGTTCTGTGTGCAGCTCCCTCCTTTCAGGTACTCTGTCCTGCAAACTCTCACTGCCTTGGTCTCCCTGGACTGTCAACTTCACCTCCTCAATCCAGGGATACTGCAAGACTTTTCTGGGGTTTTTCCTGACAATCCTATATCCTGGGCAATAAGTAGGGCTCCTTTTGTTTGTTTTCTGTCTCATGGCAGATCACTGTCCTTTGTTGGCTGATGTCCCATGTTGTGAAAAATATTGTTTTATATATTGTCTGGGTTTTTGGTGGTTTTATGTGAGAGGGTAAATTTGGTCTCTATTACTTCATCTTGAGTAGAAGCAGAAAACTCTTTCCCATAACATTTTACTTTGACTTCAAAGGTATAGTATAGTATAATTTTTCACTATAAGTTATGATTCCTGTTTCCTTGTTATAGGAAATTGTATTTATTATATGTGTGTAGGAAATTGAACTTCAGTCTGCTCATCAACCTTGGACTATGACGTGCCTGATCTTACATGATGAGCTTAACCAGTATAAAGAAAATTGTACAAATTTCTTAAACAGTGAAATATAGATCCTTGATTTTGTGTGTGTGTGAGAGAGAGTAAGTCCTACTTATCCTTCAGGCCCCAGTTCAAATGTCATTTCTTCAGGTAAGTCTTCTCTAAGTCAGCACTCTCCTACCCTGTTGTAAGTGCTCACAGCATTCTGTACCTGTCCTTTATACCTTAATACTTACAATTGTG